AGGAGAGGATTAAGATATGTAATAAGAGTGAGAAGACAGAAGACAGGGCAGGTGAAGGAGAGGACCAGAGGTGTAAGAAAGTATGTAGGAGCAAAAAGAGAAGTGAGGAGGAGTAGCTGTAGAAAGAGGAGGCGAAAGCGAAGGAGCAGGAGACGGAGGCGGAAGAGGAGATGGGAAGGAAGAAGATGGAAAGGAGGAGGAGACAGAAGAGGATATGAATGGTTAGTGGGATGAATAGAAGTAGAAGGAAATGGAGGAGAAAGGGGAGAAGATAGAAGAGGAACAGCAGAGGAGGAAGTGTGGAGGAGGAGGTGAAGGCAGCAGGAAGAGGAGGAGAGAGAAGAGAGGGAGAGAAGAGAGGAAAAGGAGGATGAAGACCATGAGAAGGTGGAAGAGGAGGACATGGAGAAGGAAGACGAATAGGAGGAAAAGTGATGAAGGATAAGGTGCTAGAAGCAGAGGAAGAAGAGATAAAGGAGGAGGAAGACAAAGGGGTAGAAGGAAATGGAGTAGGAGCATCAGGAGGAAGAAGAAAGGGAGGGATGAGAAAAATGGAAGGAGGGAAGGAGAAAAGAGAAGGGGAGAAACGAGGAGATGCAGGAAGAAAAGATGCAGGAGGAAAGGCAGAAGCAGAAGAACACGGAGAGAGATGGAGGGCGAAGAAGAGGAGGAGGACAAAGGGGAAGGGGGACTGGGGGAAGAGAAGGAGGAAACAGGAGGAGAAAAAGCAGCAGAGGAGATGGAGCAGGAGGGGGAAGGAGATGGAGGAGGAAGGGGAAGGAGATGGAGGAGGAAGGGGAAGGAGATGGAGGATGGGGAAGAAATGGAGATGGAGGAGGAAGGGGAAGGAGATGGAGGAGGAAGGGGAAGGAGATGGAGGAGGAAGGGGAAGGAGATGGAGGAGGAAGGGGAAGGAGATGGAGGATGGGGAAGAAATGGAGATGGAGGAGGAAGGGGAAGGAGATGGAGGAGGGGGAAGAAATGGAGATGGAGGAGGAAGGGGAAGGAAAGGAGATGCAGGTACAGGAGGGGAAAGAAATGGAGAGGAAGAGCCAGAGAAGGAGGAAAGAGAGGAAGTTGGAGGAGGAAAAGGAGGGGAAAGGGAGAGGAGGAAGAAATGGAGGAGGAAGAGGAGGAGAGGAAGAAGCAGAGATGGCCTGGGAGGAGGCTGCAGAGCCTGAGTTGGGTGGTAATAGGACTACCCAGGTACTGCACTGTATGTGAGGAGCTTTGTGCTCCTGTGGGCAGAGATGGGAAAAGGTCAAAGGGAGATGGCATGTGACAGAGAGTGACAGAGACACAGCGAGGCTCCCGTTAGATGGGGCAAAGACGATAGCAGGGGACCCAGGCTGGCTGAAGGGGCACCCTCTTTCCATCAGTTTCCTCGTTTGCCCTGCCTTAGCACCCAAAGCATGCTGGCCCGTTCTTAACCCTAGCTGTGCACCCAAAGGGCGCCCCACCCCATGCCTGGACGAGTTGCAGCTCCTCTGCAAAGGAGGACACAGAGCCAAAAGAGGTACGGGTGGATTACTTGGCACACAGTCAGTGCCCAATTAGTGCCCCTTCCCTTTCTTGGGGTGCGGGGCGGGCGGTAGGAAGCAAAGGACAGGAGGGAGGGAGGGAGGAAGGAAGTGTTCATAAAAAGCTTAGCATACTGCTGGTGCCCAATAAATGCCCATCTTCTCCAGGCAGAGAGAGGCAGGAAGCAGAGGTTGGCAGAGACCACTGTCAGTGGCGAATGGAGGACAAGAGAGAGGATGCATACTAGCGGTACTCAATAGAGGTATCCTTGGTCTTGGAAGAGAGTAAAGAGAGGCGAGGAGGGCGCAGGGGAGGGGAGGGGAGGGGAGGAGTGAAGAGGTAAGAGAGTGAGGGAAGTGCGTTCATTCCTTCTCCCCGAGGGCAGAAAGGGAGGGGACCGGGGTGGGTGGGAGTGGGAGAGGGGAGGAGCCCAGAGTCTGGGGCCTCACGCACAGCCGGCGCTCCCCAGATTCCTAGTGGGGAGGGGCAAGGCACCCTGGGTGGGAGAAAGGGCACCACAGCGGGGGGGGGGGCAGCAGAGCTAAACAGAAAGTGCGGAGCGGAGGTAGAGGGCAGAAAGGGTGGGCAAACACCAGGGTGACCAGAATGGCCTTGGAGCTCAGGCAGAGACGAGGCAGGCGGCAGCAGATGCCCCCAGTCCTGGCCCTCAGGGTCACTCCCCTACCTAGGGTGGAGCCCAAAGCCACCGGCCTCGCTCTAGGACTGGAGTCAGGAGCCCCCAGCTGTCAGGACAGGAGACAAGGGCGCATTGTCCTGGCGCTGGCACAGCCTGGTCCCAGGGGGAGGGGAGCCCGGTCTGCCGGGTGTGGGGTGCTGCCTGGCCTCTGAATCCCATGACCCACTGTCCCCCATCCGGGCTGACCTTCCTGCCTGCCTCTCTGGTCTTGAGTCCCAGCTCTCCACCCCTCCTTCCTGTTGTGTGGGGCAGAAGGGAAAGGCTCTGTTGCTGGTGCTGAGCACCCAGGATCTGGGCTGGGCGTGGGTGGGGGCAGAGGAGGAAAGAGAGACGGAGGCAGAGAAGGGGGAGCCAGGACAGAACCAGCTTTATTCAGGAAAGAACACAGGGCTTCGGCCCCAGCACACAGGGAGATGGAGGGGGGGGGGGAGAGACTCGAGAAAGGAGATGGGAAGGGAGGGTTTGGAGACAGAGAGGGAGAATTAGAGAGAGGCAGAGAGATGGAGAGAGATAGAGAAAGGCAAAGACAAGGAAGAGACAAAGACAGATATGGAAAGAAATACAGAGAGAAGGAAGATCAGGTCTAGACAGACAACATCAGAGACAGAGGAAGTATTGGGCTGAGAGACAGAGAGATGGAGGGAGGTAGAAAATCAGAGAGATGGAGAGACACAGAAGCAGAGAGAAAGGGGGGCCAGGGCAAATCGGGTACAGAGATCGAGGCAGAGAGAGAAACAGAGACAGATGAAGTATGTGTGTGGGGTGGGGGGGGCAGAGATGGAGACGCAGGCGGAGATGGAGATGGGCAGGCGGAGAGAGGCACAGGGGAGGATGGAGGCAGAAGGAGCCCAGTCAGGAGAGGCAAGCGGACAGGTGGAGAGACACCGGGCGCCTCGTGGGCCACCACGGCAGCAGGACCCTCTCACCTGGCCTGGGTGTCGTCGCCCCCAGCCCTAGCCCAAGCCCTGCAATTTAAGGGGCACCACAGGGGCGGGTCCTGTCCCTTCCCACGCCTTATCTGGCCAGATCCTGGCCTTGCAGCTAAATTGAGCCTCAGCTGTCAGCACAGACAGCGACAGCTGCACAGGCAGCCACGCCACCAACCCTCCACCCCCCTGGAGGTCAGCTTGGAGCCCCACACCCATATCAGGGAACCTCCATGAGCCCACCAGCTTCAGGACAGGCCTGGTGAGGCGTGTTAGGGCCGAAGGTGCTCTCCTCAGACAGAAGGGGGTGTCGGTGGGGACACCAAGCCAGCACTAAGGACAAACGCGAGGCATCGAATCTGTGTGGGCCACACCCTTCCCTCCACAGGGTCCTCAGTCAGAACCTTATTTGGTCATAGCTAAGGGTGCACCTGGGGTGTCACAGGCTGTACCACTCAGGTCAAGAATAGAAACACTCAGGGAGTCCTGGCAGCTGTCCCCTATTTGAGACCGGACAGGCGACAGGTGGAGCGGGGGTGGCGGGTGGCGGGTGGCGGGTGGGGTTGGACGGGAAAGAGGGCAACAGAAGCCTAGAGAAGGTAAGCGGCTCAGCGACCCTGAGCCAGGGAAGGAGATGGGGAAGTGGGTGGCTCACACCTGTAATTCCAGCGCTTGGGTGTCTGAGGTAGGAGGGTCACAGCAAGTTTGAGACCAATCTGGGACATACAGGGAGACTATGTCTCAAAAAGGGGGTAAGGGCACACATACACGGAGGGGGCCGTGGAAGGGTTAACTCGGACACTATGGAGGGCAGACAGAGAGAGGAGACCCAGGGAGGAGCTGGGAGGCTGGAAGAGACAGAGGCCAGGGGCCAGTGAAGGGTCCTGGGCTCCAGGGCTGGGTGCTCTGGTGACCCAACGTGCCCTTTGACCTCAGAGTTTTGGGGACCAGATGGCAGCAGCTCGAGCCACTGCCTTTTACTAGCATGGCGCCAGGATGTGCCCTCATCCCCATGAGTCTGTTCCCAGGGCAGACCCTGGTCTTCTGCTTCCGCTCTGCCACCCAGGCTATCGCCTCCCGGTTTCTTCAGGGGCGCCTGTCTGGGCCCTCCTCCTGGCTCCAGTCCTCTTCCTCTGTCCCAGATAGGCCTGTCTGTCAACACCTCCCCAAATAACTGTGGTGATGACAGCGGAGCTGTAGCGCCGGGTACAGCAGCGATTTCCAATTCTGGGGCCCTCAAGTTTCCCAGCCGCTTGAGAATGTCTGGCTCGGCTGGCTGTGGTGGGGGCATTCCCCTTCTGCTCCATTTCTGGTGCCCTAGGAAAATACTCCTCCAACAGCTCTCTGTCGGTCCGTCTGTCCCTCACCTACTTCAGGGATGAGCCCCCTTCTCCGGTGGCCCAGCGCACCCTGAGGAAATGGCAGGGGCTGTGCCGATTTCCCGAGGTTGCTATGAGGGGGCCAAGTCCTTATTTACAGCTTCAGATATCTCATGCCGGCTCGCTGTGGGGATCAGAAACGTAACGGGCTCCGCTGGGCTGGCCTCCTGCTTTTAAGGACCCCGTGCCTTCACCCAGCCACCCACCAAGTCCAGCTAGCCCGGAGGGAGGCTGGTTATAACCAGTCCCATCTGCTGCCCCGCTCCCCCTGCACCTGGGAAGTCGAGGTCCTTGGTCACAGGCTGCTTTGGGGCCGTCTGTCCGGCCTGCTTCCTCACCAGTGGGCTCAGCCTGAGAGAGGAGCGGTCCCTGCTTCATCACATGCTCCCCCGATTGTGGGGACCCCCCCCATTGGTCTCTGGCTTCTGTCTCCCTCTGGGCACTGGCTTGTGGTCGAGAGCAGTCCCCAGGCGCAGATAGCAAAAGAGCAGATTTATTGAGGCAGCAGTGGTTGGGGGAGTGGGGGCTCTCGGGTAGGGAGAGACCTGCTGGGGCTTGGAGTTGCAGGCCTCTCCCAGGCACTGGGCACTCAGGACTGTGGCAGCAGGCAACTGTTCACGGGCAGTGGTCAGCTTGTGTGCAGCCAGCAGCCGGCCTCCTCTACCTCCTTGGTTACCACCAATAGCACTTCGCACAGGCCTTGGGCCAGGGCAGCCGCCAGGAAGGCTCTGAAGGGAGATGGGGAGACTGAGATCTGGGCAGTTCAGGCGGGCCATCTCCTCACAGGACAGTTCTCAACCTGTCAGTCCCTTCACCACTCACCTGACACCATCCTCATCCCCCAGGGCCTCAGGTGCACGAAGCTTTGAGTCCAGGTTATAGTAGATGCCATCCACCTGGCGCAGGGCCACCCAGTGCCGGCGGCGCAGTGGCAGGGACAGCAGCCCCAGCGACACAGGGGAGGGTAGGTTCAGGATCAGGCCTAGCACCTGGGGCAGGGCCAGCTGGGACAGCGGTCTGGGGAAGGGAGGGTATAGCATGAGGCCCGAGGCGCTTGGACACTGCTTCCCTCCCCAGAACGGCCCCTGGCCACCACTGGCACTCACCCGCTACCTGTCAAGTCCAGTTTGGTTTTGTTTAGGCAAGGTCTCAGGTGCCCAGGTACCCACTGCTCCAGCAGTTCCTGGGTGCTGGGGATGGAACCCCAGCCTCATACGTGCTGGGTGAGCGCTCTGCCTTTTTGAGTCAGGGTCTCCAAATGCAGCCCAGGCCAGCTCCCCATTCAGTTTTGCCAAGGGCCAACAGGCCAGTGTCACTACTTTTAACCCATTTCCATCTTTCTCCACCTAAGTCATGGGTCACGAACTTGGACCCCACACCACCCTTTTGACTGGTACCAAGCTTACCATTTTAGCCCATCAGTCAGTCAATCCCCATCAGCCAGAGCTTCTCTGGCAAAAGCCTCCCCCATCTGCCTTCAAGCTACCCTCTGCTTCATCCCACACACCCAGGCCCGGGTAGCCCACCTCCTTCATCCCACAGCCTAGGCCCTACCTCCTCCTGTCCCACCACACGGCGGCCAGGCCCAGGCCCTGCAGGGCAGCCATGATCACGTTGACATCATAGTTGCCGGTGCCCAGGAGGCTGCGATGGGGGTTCAGCCGGGAGTCTGGGGCTAGCCTGGGGGTGAAGGGGACAGAGCCAAGGTTTGGAATCCTGGAAAGGCCTTCTTCACCCTCTCACGCAATAGGGGAGGCTCAGAGCCTGGCTTTGAACTTCCTCTTTAAGCCCCATACAGCTTATTGGGCCCCAAGCCCTGTTTTTTCCTCCCATCCCTGACACCTGTACGCTGGGTCTGGCTAGTTTTCATCTTTTTCCGCTCAGAAACCCGTTGGGGTCTGTAGTCTCTCCCTCCAGCCCACCTCCAGAAGCCCTGAGCTGCCTTCCTCTCCTACTCCGGCCTGCCCCATGACTCCCAAGTGCTGTGGACAAAGTCTGTCCTTCCATCCACCCTTCTCATCACGGCTTCTTTCCACACGGGCCCCAGATGTCATTTCTTCTGGTAGAGGGGCCATCTAGCCCCCCCCCCCCGGGACTGGACTCAGAGCTCCCTGAATGACAGTGCCACCCGTGTCACCATATCTGAACACAGAGTGCCTCTTTCGTTTGGTAACACCCTGCTCTAGTCTGTTCACAGCCTTCCCTGGTGTCCCAGGTCCCCAGGACGGACCTCCGCCTCCTCCAGTGGCAAGTGATCCTTGCATAGCCTCAACAGCAGCTCTTACCGGCCACCCATCTCCAGCTGTCCCCAGCTGTGACCCTGTTCCTCTGAAGAGCTGGGCTCTTGGAGAGCAGCCAATGGAGGGAACCACCTGTTTGCTCTCCGTGTTCCTAGCCTTCCCCTCATTACATCTTCCTTAGCTCTGGCACGAAAGAGCTGGCGACAGGGGAGATGAATGTCTCCCAACATCAAGCTACGGTTTGAGGATGCTGGGTGAGTACCAGTGAGAAGACATAAGGGCTGCCAAAGGCTGTGGGCATGAATTGCAGGCTGGGTGTCAGTGTGTCTGCAGGATTGTGGGGCCTAGGGGTGGTAACGGGAAGACAGTTTCTTAAGAAAGGATGGCTGAAACTCTGAGGGACACCTAGGTGACCAAGAAGAAAAAGGGTGCCATGTAACATGGAACAGCCCGTGTAACATGGAACAGCCTGTGTAACACGGCACAGCCCGTGTAAAAGCTCAGACACACTACAGTGGGGTCATTTGGGCCCAAGGAGCGCTGCAGAAAGGTGGGCAAAGACCTGAGCACCCAAGGCCTTGGAGTCCAGGCTGAAGGCGCAGGGCTATTCTCTAGGCGTGCTAGGGAGCCCCGGAGGGATAAATGCAGAGGGAAGGGCAGGCAGAAGTGGGCTGTGTGTCCGATGGACAGGAGGAGAAAAACACACAGCTGTGAGGCTGTAATAAAGGCTCAGGTAAGAGAGGCTGCAGCCAAAGCTGGGCGGAGGCCATCAGAAGCAGCAGGCGGGAGGGGAGGGCAGGCCCTGTGAGTACCCCAGGCAGGCTCTCAGCCCTGCTCTTCCGGGGCCAGGACCCGACAGCCGGCAGTCACCTCTTGCAGATTTCGTCTGCAGCCTCCTGGCTAAAGAGCTGCTGTTGAAGGACGTTGTTGAGGGCGTGGACAGCGCACAGCTCCAGCCGCTGCCGCTCGTGGTACACTGAGGGTGGGCTCGGCTGCGCTTCCGGGGCCTGAGACATACCCTCCTCGGCTCCTGCTGAGGGTGGGACAAGGACAAAGTGTTAGGGACCCAGGATCTCGGTCACCTGGGTCTCCAGGCTCCTGGGTCCCTGGGCAACAGACACTGAGACGGGCACTGGGGCCAGCTTGGGAGGATACGACCCTGCTACCTAGGCTGTCTCCGGAGCATAGAGGCATCTTCATGCCCCAGTCCTTGGGGGGGGGGGGAGACTCTTTTCTGCTCACTTGGCAATAGAGACTCCCCTCCTGCGACTACATGTCTCTCAGCAAAAAAGTCCGGTTCACTGTAACCTAGCAACGAAGTACGGCCCCTTCTGTTCCTAGGGAACAATACCTTTTTGGTTTCCAAGCAACAGAGTACACTTCACCCGCTTGGTTACCCGGTCCGATTTCTGATCACCTAGCAATGAAGGACTGACTCCTCCTTTCTCGTCTCTGGGTAACAGGGTCTCTTCCTGTCGCCTAGCAACGAAAGACTTCCCTTCGTCAATAACCAGGGTTCTCTCCTCCCGTCACCTGGCAACAAGGCCCCCTCCTAGTCACTAAGCAACAGGAGCCCCCCACCCCTCCCTATCACCTGGCAACCAGGCACGCTCCCACCCGCCTGCTCACGGCGCTCGCCTGGCCCTCACCCCTTCGGCCTCTCTGCTCGCTGGGACCGGCCGCCTTCACATTCCCTGGGCAGCGGCCGGGTGGTACCGCGCTGACTGGGCAGACCGGACAGACTACAGCTCCCGACCGCCTGAGCACTCGGGACTGCGATTCCCGAAGGCCTCCGGGGCGCCTAAATCGGACGCGCAGTCCGGAAGTCCGCCGGGGACGCTCTGCAGCGCGGAACTACAGCTCCCGTCGGGCCACACAGCCAGTTTTCACGAATCACCCCCCCCCCAGGGCTCACTGCTGCCTAGAGGTTTCTGGGAAATGTAGTAATTGCTGCTCTCGCGGTAACTTCCTGGAAATTGGTTTGTGCCTCTGCTCATGCTCACGCTGCTATGGCGTCACACACGGTGTGTCGAAGCGTGATGTAATAGTTAGGGTATAAGGAACTAAAGAGGCCAAAGAGAGCAGCCGACAGAACTCTGATGTTTACTGAGACACACAGTTGAGGTGCCGGGAAGGACAGTGGGGGAGACTTGTCAGCAGAGGTGGATCCCGGGTCTGGAGGGGAGCTGGCAGCAGCCTGTGGGGAGAATGAATGAAAGACTAGGATGACAAAGCAGACACACCAGCCCCATGGCGCCCGTGGGCTTTGCAAGTGGTAGTGTAGTACAGCCCCAGAGGATACCGAGAAAGAGATGCGGGGTGTGGATGGAGACGCAAAACGGGGGCTGAGACCAGGAGGGCGGGGAAGCAGAGGCTCATAAAGCCTAGGAGTGGAAACTAAGGATGGGCAAAGAGAAAACCGGGCTGGGGCACTCGACATCTGAGCCCCGCCGCGCACGAAGGTCAAGGGACTCTTGGAGGGGTCTGGCCGCACCCAGTAGGCTGCACCAGAAGGCTGTGACAGTTGCGGAGCCGGTGACAGCGCCAGGCTGGGCTGGGTTCTCTCTGTGGGTGTGCACAGCGAAGCTGTGGCCTGTGGGCCCTGGGGGGCCTTTCAGCTCCACATCCACGACGTGCATGTCCTTGAGGCTGCAGCCAGCAGACAAGGGTAGTTAGTGCATCTGGCCTGTACACAGCTGGGCCACCTACTTCTGTTGCTCACCTAAGGTCAGCCACAAGCACCCCAATGACACGGTCGAAGCCTAGACTGGGGGCAGCCAGGGCAGCGGCTGCCATGGTGTTAGAATTTCGCGGGGCCAAGAGGCAGAGTCCACGCACGGGGCCCTCGTAGAGCACTGTGCGGGCCCCACTGATACGTGCTGCAGCCAGGGATCCCTCCAGCCGGAAGCCATCAGGATGTGTGGCCATGGTGACTCGAAGGCTCTGGAAGCAATGGCAGGGTCAGGAAGCCGAGACTCTCTCATGTTTCCTCAGTTGCAGCCCATATGGTTCTCACCTGGAGGCCTCCCGCTGCATCCAATCTCCTGATGTCTTCAGTCCCCCACAGGGCTCCTCGGGCCACAAACACAGCGTGGCCCCAGCAGCTTGAGGCCTCCATGAGCTTCTGCTCTGTGGTCTGATCGGCCAGAGCTGAGGGAGACCCCACCTTGGGAAGTATGGTAGAGAGAGGGAAGGCCAAGACATAAATCATTGCTGTGGGGTGGGATGCAACCTACCCAGAGAAGGACTTGCTGAGGGGGCTCACCAGGAGGTTAGCATGGCGCAGGATTTGTGCCCCTGATTCGCGGATTATATTTGGATGGGCCACTTCTACCACAAGGTCAGGGTGCCTGGGAGAAGAATCTGGTCTCAGGGTTTGGAGGGCCGTCACTCCTTACCCTGGCTGGGGAGGGAAATGGTCAGTGGGTATGTTCTAGTTTATGTGCACTGAGAGGCCCAGAGAGGGTCAAAGTGTTGACTGGCACAGGGAGGCAGGCAGGAGCTTTGGGAAGGCTCCCACCGTGCTGGGGGCCACTGACCTTTCCTCAAGGGTAGTAAGGTCTCGGAGCTGCAGGGCAGGGGGCACGCTCCCTGCCATTCGTCCAGGGTCCCGGTTCCATACAAAAACAAGTTCTAGGCCCAGTTCTGACCCCTGAGCCAGAAGGCGAGACACAAGAGACTGTCCTGTAGAGAGGGAGGGCCAGAGATCCAAGGGAAGTACAGAGACAGCACCCCAGTCAGGGAGACAGACAGACAGACAGACAGACACACACACACACACACACACACACACACACACACACACACGCACACACACGAGGGGGCACAGAGGAGAGGACCAGAGAGAGGAAGGCCCAGTGAGTGGGCAGAAGGCAGTCTGGGCTGGCAGATCGGGGTGAGAGATAGTGAGAGCAGGTATTTCTGGGACTTTAGGGATAGGGCCACAGAAGGAAGCCCCAGGCTAGTCTGGACTCACCCAGGCGGCCATAACCTACCACCCCCACCTTCCGAGGGACTTGAGGGACCATGCTGCTGGCCATGGCCTTTAGTGCGGTGTCCTGTTGTAGATCTGCAGTGTTTGCTGGCCTCCGTGCCAGGCCTAGGCAGTGAGTGATCTTTGTAGTTTACCCCTTGACCCTCTCCGCTGGAGCCGGGGGAGGGCAGGGTGGTGAAGATTGGGTGCTTCTGTGCGAGCCCTCTGCCCTCCTGTGCTGGCTGGCTTGGTGGCTTGGGATCAGGCCTTTTGTGGCACTGTTTGCTGGCTATCCCACTACCTCTCCCATCCCTCATGAGGCGGGAAAATCGCTTTGCAGTGCCCCCTCCTCAGGCTGGGCAGGAGGTTGTCATGGACATTGCATTTTGCTTGGGATAGGGGAAGAGCTGGGGACTGGAACTCGGGTCTTGCAGATCTCTTGTCTGTTATGTGGAAGGTTCTGGCTGGAATGCCGTGTGGTTCTTCATGCCCTGCCTGTGTCCTGTCTTTCCCAGTCCTCCATGCCCCCCCAGTCCTGGCCGGAGCCCTCCCCACCCTAGTGTCTAATTGCCCTTGAGCTCACCCTGTCTGTCCTGTCGGCCACCCATCCCACCCTGAGGCCACAGTCTCTTGCCTCTTTGTACTCCTGGTCCCCTGACCCCTCTCCTATCCCATCCGCGAAGAAGGAAGGGGTCTGCAAAGCTGAGGGCGTTCCTAAGTGTTCCCAGGATGAGTCCAGCCACTGCCTGGCAGGCCTGGCGTGAGGCAAGGCAAGCTGCAGTAGGCCAGCTCCCTGCCCCCATTGCCACCTGGTACAGCCGCAATGTTGCCATGGTAACCAGGATCCTCGCCGAGATGGCTGTGGAGAAGGCAGGAAAGATGGCGAGAGAACCCACTGCGCATGCGCAAGAGCCCTGTCCCAGACTTCATCAACACAGAGGATCTGGACAGGGAGGGAGAGAGGGCCAGACACCTGACAGTTGCCACAGATAAGGAGGCCACTTAGCCCTGGGGTGGGAGAGGGGAGAAGGTGCAGTGGGGGTAGAAACATCAGGAAGCGGTGGGGACAGAGAAGGTGGCAGATGCACAGGGTGCAAGCAGTTGGGGGGGCGCTTCCTGCTCGCCCGTCTCTGGGGCCTTCAGTGCCCACATGGGGTCTAGATCTATGTATGGATGCCAGGCCAGGTGTCCATATGCCGTACACCTGCCTCTGGCTGCCTCTGCCTCCCTAGGCCTCCTCAGACTTCCTAGGCAACCCCAGCTCTCTGAGGCTGGACCTTGGACACATGGGCCACTCTGAGGTGCCACTAATACCCCCACTCCAGCACCACCCGGCTGTGGCCTAGCTGCACGTTTCCCCCTTGGTGATTGCACACCCACCATGTACCCTGGTGTGTTTACAATGTCTGGCATGTGGCCAGTGTGGCCCAGGCCTGTTTGTTTTGCATGCACCTCCCCTGTAGAAACTTCTCCTGACTAGCCAGGGATGTGTGTGAAATGGAGACAAACTCTCCTGTGGGGACACAATCACTTGCTCAATAGTACCACCAGAAAGTTCTGTGGCTACCCTGACCTTCAGATGGTCAGCTGTAGCCTGGACAACTGTGTCTGCAGATGGTCACTTTAGGAGAGGTTCCTGCAAGCCCTGAAACAGCATGATGGCATCCCCACCCTGAAGAGGTACACACGGATGGCCCCAGCAACCCGGAGAGGCTGGGACACAGCCTTCCTACCCAGGCTTCCGAGGGACCCAGCCCTGCCAGCACTGTGACCTTGGACTTACAGCCCTCAGAATTCCAATATCTCACAGTCCTGCTGTTCCAAGTCACTGTGGAACTTTGCAGTCCCAGGTCCCTTCTGGGGTGTGTGCTGTGTGTGTGTACATGTGTGTGTGCTGTGTGTGTACGTGTGTGCATATGTGTGTATGTGTGTGTGCATGTATGTGTGTGCTGTGTGCGCGCGCACACGTGTGTGTGTTCTCTGCGTGTGCATGTGTGTGTGCGTGTGTGCATGTGTGCATGTGTGTGTGTGTATGCATGTGTGTTTGTGTGTGTGTGTGTGTGTGTGTGTGTGTGTGTGGCCGGGGTAGGCACCAGAGTCAGAAAGGAAAGACCTAGAGATGTCGATGGAGACAGAGACACATAGGAGGAGGGCAGAGGCCAAGCTTCCAGCACATTACTGGAAGGGCAGCCAGGAAGATGGGACAGTGCTGCTGTGTGCTGGGTGAGCCTGTTCCTCTCGAATGGAGTCCCAGAACTGTAACTTTGGGTGCCCACTTCCCCCTCCTGGTCCCACCCACAGCGGCTCTGTGTTATCTTCAATACTTTCATGACCAAAAAAAAATTTTTTTTTTACTTTTTCCATGTTTTTTTTTTTTTTTTAAAGTAATTACAGAGCAGGTAGTGATTGACGCAAACCTCCCTTCAGTATCAAAAGAGTCTGTGGGGCGGGTGGGGCCGGCCAGGGCCGCGAGTAGAGCTCGCTGTTGGGGACACTGTAGTTGCCCCTTGGGCTCTGGTGAAGTTGTCTGTCTCTTGTGTTTTGAGAGTGGAGGAGTAGGAGGGAAGGACAGGCGTCAAACTGCAAAAAAAGAAAGAAAAAAGAAAGAGCCATAAAAGGAGGGTTGGGATGAGGGGAAAGGGTACTCCTCGAAGAAAGAAGCTCCTCTCCCCTGGAAGGTGGCGGGCAGGGCTGGTGGGCAGAGGACACGGCAAGGCCGAGGGCGGGGCCACCTCTCCTGATCTCCAGGTCCTTTCCTGGTGCAGGACCGCCAGCGCCGCCCGGCTGCGCAGCAAGCAGGAGCATCCCGGGCAGGCGTCCTGCGTCCCTGCCGGCCCGGGTTTAGATTTGTGTCTCTTGCACGTTCTCCTTGGAGCCGCTCTTGAAGAGCAGAGGTTCATGGATGGAGTTGAGGCCGGGGCCTTTGGCCCCGCACCCGCCTCCTGGGTTGCCGCCGTAGTGTGCCTTGAAGGCGGCCGCCACGTAGTGGTGGTGGTTGAGGTGGTCTCGCTCCAGCGCGGGAAGGGCCAGGTGGCTGTCCCCGCCCACGCCCGCGCCTCCGGCCACCGCGGCGGCCGCGGCCACCGACACGGCGGAGGCGGCGGGAAGCTCGTCCTCCACATTGATGATCTCCACCGTGCGCGTGGGCCCGTGGTGCTTGTGCAGCTGGTGCTGCTTGCGCAGCTTGTAGAAGGCCACCAGCATCACAGCGGCCATGAAGGTGATGGCCACGAAGCAGCCGATGATTATTTTGGTGGTCTTCATGACGTCGTCTAGGTCCTTAAGCGCGTTCTCCGTTACGTCCGTGATGGGCACCGTGAACGCCTTCTCCGTGGGCCGCGAGGAGCGCGGGGCCGGCGCAGTGGTGGACGCCGAGGCCGGGGCTGCGGCATCAGGCCGGCCGCCGCCCCACGCGCCATCGGTCGTGGGCCCCGGCGGCTCCTTTTCAGTGCCCCGGGGCTGCTGAGCCTCCTCACCCGGCTGTGTCTCCAGTGTCTCCACGGTCACCGTGGTGAAATAGGTGTAGCCGCCCGCGCCCCCTGCACCGCCCCCACCCCCGGGGCCTCCGCCCCCAGCCCCCCCTGCGGCCACCGGGTCCACAGCTGACACGTTAAGTGTGGCCGAGGCAGTGGTGTTGCCGGCCGAGTTTGTCACCATGCACGTGTACTGGCCCGTATCCTGCACGGTGACGTTGGTGAAGTTGAGCGTGCCGTCGTGCAGGACCGAGATGCGCACACGGTAGGAACCATGCGTCATGAGTGTGCCGTTAGGTGTCAGCCAGTTGACGGAGGTCATGGACGTGCCAGTGCGGCACTTGAGCTCGGCCGCCATACCCTCGGTGACATTGAGGTCTGTGGGTGGCTCCACGATGACCGGGGCATAGCAGGTGAAATGTGACTGGTCCAGCTCACCGATGTAGCGGCCCTTGAGGCCAGCGGGCGCGTGGCAGCGCGCACAGCACGTGGTGTTGCTGGGCACTGTCTCCTTCAGCCACCAGCTGAGCCACAGCACATCGCAGTTACAGTGCCAGGGGTTGTGGTTGAGGTGGACGCGCTCCAGGCGGTGTAGGGGCGTGAAAAGGTCGTGTGGCAGCGACATCAGGTTGTTGTGGGACAGGTTCAGCTCTTCCAGCGACTTGAGGTCGTCAAAGGCATTTCGCTCAATGGTGGCCACTTGGGCGTGCATCAGCCACAGCTTGCGCAGGCTGGTGAGACCCTGGAAGGAGCCCGGGCGAATTAGGTCCAGCCGGTTCCCCGACAGCTCCAGCTCCTCCAGGCGCACAAGCGCTGTGAGGTTGGGGATGTCCTTTAGGTTGCACATGCCCAGATTGAGGTAGCGCAGGTTCACCAGCCCCTCGAAGGCGGCCTCCGATATGTACTCCAGCCGCTTGAGCTCGCCCAGGTCCAATCGGCGCAGTGAGGGCACACGGTTGAAGGCATAGGATGGGATGCTTTCGATGGGGTTGTTGCGCAGCCACAGCTCCCGGAGCTTGGACAGGTACTCAAAGGCCTGTGTGGGCACCGTGGTGAGCCGGTTGTCAAAGAGTTCTAGTGTGTTGAGACTAGGCAGCCCATTGAATGCGCCCACCTCGATCTTGCGCACCAGGTTCTTGCTCAGCTGCAGGATCTCCAGGTGCCGGAGGTGCTTGAATGTGTCTGTTCGGATCACCTGTGGGGAGACTAGCGTCAGTGACCCTGACAAGCCTGGACTCTCCAATTCACAGCAGGAGAATGAGACTCCGTGGTCAGCGAGTGGTGCTAAGGACAAGACCCTGATGTCCAAGGTGCTGAACAGGAGCTCTGTGACTGCCACCATAGAGCCCCTCACTGGAGAACTTTTAAGTGTGTGATCTACATTGGGCCACACCCCAGCCCCTCACTGGGGGATTCTAGGCGGGTGGGTGTTCTATCAGTGAGCTGTGCCCAGCCCCTCACTGGGGGATTCTAGGTAGCTGTCCTTTCACATTTTATTTGAAGGCAGGGTCTCATTAAGTTCCTGAGACTGGACTTAAACTTTTGATCTTGGTACTTCAGGCTTCTGACTAACTGGGAAGTCAGGCCTGTGTCT